CATCCGGAGGATAATGAAGGTGTGGACAACATTACCCAAAAATGTAGCCGCTGATATACTCAGAGATTTTATTCTTCCGCGCAGTATCCTACCTAATAGGCCTAATGATAACATCATTTGTTCTTGTGAGTTGAGAGTACAAGCACCACTCTTGTTCCTTGACTTATTGCAGCATGGTCACCACTTTTTGCATCGTCGGCCGTCCGCAAGAACGTTCTTAGTACACAAAGTAGCCACTTGAAAAAACCATGAGCATTTTTGTCCCTGTTTAAGTGTCATGAAGCTCCAACAGCGCATTATCTAGTAACTCGTGCACGCTCTTTGCCGTCTTGATGTGGTTCTCAGCCCAACCCACAATCGTTGTTCCTTCTGGAAAGCTGAAATCAAGTGACTACTTTCCTATCAGAAGCTTCAACAACACTACTCCCTTGCACTTGAAGTTGAAGTTCATGGCATACTCGCTATGTATAATACTCCTCCAAACTGGAGTGTGGGGGTAGGGTAAGTGCACTTCCATACTTTGCTAATTGCACTTCACTTAGCATCTCCAATAGATATTGGAGAATATCTTTGATGTTTGGATCCTGAGCAACTGTTAATCAAAAAATTCCACCCGTGAAATGTTGCTTCAGTGGGAATCATTTGACAGTCTTGAAGCCAAAAAGGGTTTTTCCAGCACCACCCATGGCCAAAGCCCTACCCACCGACGTACATCTTCTTTGAGTAGAATTGCTCTCGCAGAGTCTAAAAGCTCATCGCTACAAAAAACCAGAGCGCTGATCGGGTGTTCAAACTGACGTTGTGGAGACGGAACTACATTTGTAGAACTTCCAGTTGCTGAACCTTGAGTCTATGTCAAGAAGTACCCGTCAGATTGTACTTTGATATCCTCAAATGCACGTTTAGGTGTGATGGTTTCAACTAACCTGCCAAAGGTGTTGGTAGGGGTTTTGACTGTCAACCTTGTGCTGTGAGAGAAGTTAGCAGGGCCAATATTGTGAATCAAATCACTCAGTAATTGCTTTACCTCCTTCAAGCTCTCTTGCACATCAGCCAGTATCTTATTCTGTTCGTCGGTAGTCTCCTTTGTGTATCCCAGCTGAACCAACGCTGCTTGCCCCACAAGATCGTTGATTTCCCTTGTTATTTCAACGAGTTTCTTGGAGGTGGATTTGTTCTTCACGATGTTTAATGGTCTGGAATCCTGGCTGATGCACTCACGCATCACTACTTCCGCTTCTTCCAGTCGGAATCGAAGTTTCTACAGCCACTCTATTACATGCGTTGACTTGTTCTGACCCTGCCCGATTTGTGAGCTATCACAAAGGAAATGCACCAATGATGCCAAACCCTCAAGCGGTACGAGCAATGCTTTACAATTTTTGCTACAGTTCACAGCTTGCTTGACTGCATCGATCACTTTCTGAAGCAACAACTCGACTTCAAAGCCGATGACAACGCTTACAAGCTCAATCATTGCAACGTAATTGTTGTAGATTGCAACTGCTCCCTCGAGTGACAAACCGTATGGTCCCACACCTACAGACAAATTGCCACCAATATGGAATCCAACAAGCAGACAACCGAATGCTGAATATTGCGACGGACAGTATTTCCTAGGCAATTTTGCATCCCACCTTCAGGTTCTGCAAAGTATTGGACCCCCAAAGCCCTTGGAGGTTTCATCCTACCTTTGTCTCCACCGGCAACGCTGTAGTTTTTCTCACAAATCTTCGGCACCAATACCATTTGATTGATTTTGAGTGCTAAAGACCTCTTACCGTAAACCCTAGAAAAATTCTGATGATAAACATTTCTCAGTGTATTCTAGAGCTATAATTAAGACAACTCTAATAAAAAAAGTTCATAACCTTACTCTAACTTTCATATGCATGAGAGTGCAGCTGAAATCGATTTTTATCTAGTATGATCCATTGCCAAGATAGGTATTTCTAAACTTTTCTATTATTGATCTAATATAGGTTAATCTAATAGGTATTTTTTTGCAAAAAAACTGAAAAACACTACTATATTTTCTATCTAAAAAATTGCCATCTCATAGTCTCGATAAAGCAACTCACAAGATAGAGTGTGGCATGAGGCTGGAAGGGAGCTCAAAAGCTGCAATGGCTTTTTTTCATGAATCAAATTCTCATATAGGTTCAAAAAATCCACTAATAAATAATTGAAAGCATCAATGTAATCCTGCATCTTTGTACCTTCGACCATTTTGAAGCTCATCAGCTTTAACAATATAAAAAACCAATTTGACAACTTTTTCATGTGATCTTTGTTGAAAGCGCTTGAACTATAACAATCATACTTTCTAATTCCTTAACTTGTTTCAACAAATTCGGCTTCAAATAGAGAGTCACAATAGATTTGATCTACCGATTTTCAATTTGAGTACGTTTCGTATGTCTTCAATCAGATACTCTGAAAGAAAGCTTGACTCCTCACTTACATTGTTTGAATGCAAGAGTTCAACACCTTCCGCAACTATTGGAACAAATTTTGCTCCTCGCTCCTCGCTATTCATGCCAAGAAAGCGTTCAAAGCGTAGACAATCCTCAACATTTAGACTCAAAAATTGAAATTCATCAAAATTAAAATTTGAGATCATCCACGTCTAGTTCATAAGCTAATTCATTGGAATGTGAAAACGGTTTGTCAAAATCATCATTGAGTAAAAAGTTATTAAACCCATAGTTCATGGATAAAAACTTGAATGTGTATCCTAATGGAATCTTTACTACCAAAAATTTACGCAAAGTATATTTCCAAAACTTTTGTATTGCGTGCTCAATTTGCTGAAGAACCATCCTTTAAAATTTGAGCTCCAAAAAACATATTTTGCTTGGTCTAATTCATCAAAATTGCCAAAAAAACACTATATGTTTGATTCTTTTTTAATATAATTTTTCATATGAAGTGTTTCCCTTATGGAGCTTAAGTGTATACTTTCAAAGATTCTTCCGACCCGAGTTATAAGAAGCCCGGTACAAAATCCATGACATCCTAAATTTGCAATTCGTCACTCCAAATTTGTCTTCATGTGAACATCATAGCCGAATTCAAACTCCATCTTCAAACACCTATAACTTCGCGAACTCTCAACAAAATTTAGATCAAAACGATTGTCTCTGAGAGTTGATTAAGCCTATGTGTGAAAAATCAAAAAATACAATGATCAAAAATTCAAATTTTGAGAAATTGAAGCTATTTTACTCACAATGAAGAATGTAAGAGATTATTCCGTTTCAAATTTCAAAAAATCTCTCTAATCAATAAATACTATTCATTTCTTTCATCAAAGTGTAGTAAGTGACTTTGGCTAATCTTTTACCAAGAATTAGTCAACAATTACTTCAAATCGCTAGTAAAATTTTGACAACGCTTCTAAGCTCCATAATCTCCAAGAAACGATGAAAATTAAAATTTTGCAAGCATTGAACTAGCTCTTATATCAATTGAAAGTTCCAACCATCAAGATCAATTAGTACGCACAACAATCACAACACCGAGATAACGTGATTCAACTTTCACAGGCTTTGTCACGGTCAAGAGTAGAAACTTCACTAAAGCACAAATATATACACGACTTCCATAAACAAGCTTTACTCCTATCTATTCACTATCAAAGTACAATACTAAACTATAACTAGTGAATGATTAATTCTCTCTTCTATACAAGAAGAGATAAGTTGCACATCTTAGTTAATTTAATTACAATTAACTTTCTTAATCATGGTTATCATTAATTGGAATTAATCCAAGATAGAGTTAATTTAACACTTAATTTTACTAATAACAACAATATTGCATATATAAAATTTGCAGTTTGAAAAGTCATGTGAATAAAAATTGAGACATTACAATTAACACAAAATCTTAATCTTTTGTGTTAAAATTTATTTTTTTTCATAAAAATACAAGTTTTAAATATTGTTCAAAACATACGAAAAATCATATACACAAATATTGCTTGTATAATTTGAGTAAAGTTACAAAAATTACAAAAGTTGTTTCATGATAAGTTATTATGCCACTGAATAGATAGCAGTGAAGATTTAGAGATTAGATATTTTCAAGTCAGTTGAAGGTAAGAACTAGAGATTGATAAAATGATGAATCAGAAGTAGTGAAAAAACCTGGGGTTCTTGAAGCATAAAATGATTTCGCCTAAAGTAAGATTTGTTTTTCATTGTATATCATGTTAATCAAAGAACGCTGTGATATATATATATATTAAGAAATTGTTATTTTGATTGATCGACAAAGTTCTCAAATTGATCAATCGACATCTTTACCAGAGTTTTTACAAATGTATTTAGTTTCGATCCTGAACCCTAATCTGGTCTCTTATCTTTGAAATTTAAAGGCTGTGCATATTGTTTTACTCGCGTTCACATTTACAATGGCACAATATCTTTCTGTATGAAGTCATACAGAAGAATGCACGCTCCGTCATCTAGGTCAAATATACTGGTAAAATGAGTTTGGAACTAATTTAGTTATCTTACTTTCCACAGAGTGTACTCTTTCAGTGTCTGGGATATTTATTTATATTCCATGCAGAGATAGACGCAAGACGATCGAGATATGCTAGCCATGGATTCTCTACAGGATTACTCGTCTACCATCGTCGATCTCGGTACGCGCCTGCAATAGGAGCAGAGGGGCGGCCATTTCACTGCACAAAATCAACGACGCTTGAAGCGGAGATTCGCAGAGTAATTCCGTCTTCTGGGATCGACCAGGGGAGGTCCGGACTCGGGGCTAGGAATATTTTAAACTATTCTTCAGTTCTTGGACAGATCCGACGAGCGAGAATGGAGATGCTAAGATTCCGGGAAGTAGCAAAGAGGATCGGTGCCGTTGAAGGAAGATGCTTCCGCGACGGGCGTTGACTGCACCGATCAGACAGTAACTCCAAGGGCACGGTCGCGCGGTCGTTGTGAAGGCCCGGGCGAGGCACGGCAGCAGGGCGGTCAGGTGTCGTGAGCACGAGTGAAGGCCATTTTCGGGCGATGTCTGTGCACACAAGACCCGAGTGAAGGAGCAGGAGAGCAGGGGAGACGGCAAGGGAGGGAGCTACGGCTCAGGACAGCGCCACAGCAATTATTAGTGGCAATTGCACTTCCAGATTTGATTCCTTGTCTTTAAGAGCGGCCACGGGAGGGCAGAAGTGCAGATTAGAATAGAGCTAGCGAGCGAGAGAGAGAGAGAGAGAGAGAGAGGAGGGAGGGGAGAAGTCTTCGTTGAAGTCCGTTTTTTGATGTTATGGTTGAGGTTAGACAGATGCCAGAAGTTGTGTAAGAACATCGACTGGTTGTATATTTTTGTCACTTTTCTTAAGGTGTCTTTTTGTGTTCCGTGCCGGGTTTGGATTGGCGTAGGAGACGAGACGAGAGGAGGAGGAGTGGGGAGGGGTTTGTAGTAGTGAGGCTGGCGGATGGGCTGGCTGGCTGGCCGATGGGAGGAAATTAGTTGTCTTTGTGCTTTGTTGAGCGATTTGGAGTAGAGATAGAAATCTGCCTTGTTGAAATTGTAGTGTGCCGATTGGTGTGGACATTTTGATTTACTTATTGGGTAGGGGACCCGAGCGAAAGACGAGTGGGAGTAAGAGTACCGACGGGTCAAGGACTCTGAAGAAATATGGCAGGAGGAGGAGCAGCGTGGAGAGTGATGCTGCGGCTGCTTCTACCCGCCTTGTTGCTGTTAGCATATGCTCAAGGCGTTAGGGGAGACGACGATATTGTTCAGCCGGATGACGAGAAAGCGCCCAAAATGCCTGGATGTGATAACGATTTTGTGCTGGTAAGGTGTAGTACTTTCGTGCGTTAGGGTTGCGTGGTTATCGAACAGTGAATTTGAGGTGATCAGCATAATTATTGTACGGTTTTCTTCTCAGTGCTTACAATTTCGTGAGACTTGTCCATACGTATGTGGTCGTAGAAACACACATGCAAATTTAGGACATTGGACTGGATCAGTGTTGTCAAGATGTTTTCTTTCTGTGCCGAGAGGGACGGCAGATGTTTTTTGTGCTGAAGATCTGAATTAACTCTTAATACACCCTTGTTGAAGCTGGCCGGAGTGTCCACACAAGATAAATTGGTTCTTGCATACAATGCGAAGAATCGCCTTTCCTATTCGTGTGGCTCTAATATTCCTACTCTGGTAATTTCTCGAAATGAGGTTCATTCACAGAGGAATGAGTCTTTACAAGGAGAACTTTCTCAAAACACGGGGAATACGACGGAGAATGCTTTCGGACTTTGTGGGAGCTGTAGACCGTCCTGGAATTTGTTCTCTAAGACTCTACTTGGTCCGTCAGAAATTTTTTTCTATTATCTCGAGAAAATATAACTTCAGTTCTCATGATCGGTGGCTTTTGTGCATTCCAATAGGTGAAAATTCGAAATTGGATAGATGGCCGTGAGAGTGGAGAGTTTGTCGGAGTAAGTGCTCGTTTCGGAGCACCCATCAAACAACACAAAAAGGACGCTCCTGGTGCACCTTTAGCTCTGGTTAAACCACCCACTCTTTGCCAGAACTACACCTCGGAGGGCGAGGTATGTATGGAAAGTTGTGGATTCTAGACGGCTGTTCGCGAACTTGACAGCGGTTTTATCTTTGGCAGCCTGTTTACATTCTCCTGTGGATCGTGAGAGGAAGTACATGACGTTTTTCGTCTTTTCATACAGCTGAATGGTTTTGCGGCTCTGGCCCAGCGAGGAAACTGTACATTCACCACGAAGGCCCGAATTGCCCAGGTCGCGGGGGCTGTGGCACTTCTAGTTGTCAATGATATGGAAGGTAAGTCTTGCCGTGCTGATGGGGATAGCTGTTGATTGTTCTGAGTATGTAAGCATCATTAATATTTTTAGCACGGCGATTGTGGTATACCAGAACAGGAACCAGTTGTAGTCAAGGGCATTATATGTGCGAATTCTAGAACTCGACATTATTTGACCGTTAATATCTAGGACTTATCCCGAGTAGGTTGTTTTCCATGGAAGGTGTGAATGTCGTTCTTCTATAATGCATTTGAATACATGTAACTGCAATCCACCTTGCTTTGATTTTGAATGTGTTACCGTGGGTTTTTAACTGCAGAGCTGTACAAGATGGTATGCACGGAGAATGATACTTTCACGGACATCACCATACCAGCTGTGATGCTACCAAAGTCAGCAGGAGAGACTCTGCAGAATGCTTTGCATTCTGGAAGCGAAGGTAGAGTGGTCGTAGTTGGTTCGAAGGTATCTGTTGTGCTCGTCAGTGGACTCTAGACATTGTGAAATGAAAGCTTCTATTTATTGACTTATTGACTAACTTTTGGAGAATCAGTGCTGAGTAGATACCGAGTAAGTGTTTTATCTCGATCCAGTTAGTTCGAGTTAGGAAACGATGTTCTGAATAACATTCTGTTCATTCTTGAAGTGAGGGTGCTATTTTACTCCCCGAAGAGGCCACTTGTAGACGTCGCGGAGGTGTTTTTGTGGCTGATGGCGGTAGGCACGATCCTTGGGGCTTCTTACTGGTCTGCCTGGAGTGCCAAAGAGGCTGCTAATGAGCACTATCGGCGGCTGAAAGTGAGTTCTCACATTGTCGGTCTTGAGTGTCGCGAGGAGTCATGCTATTGCATGCATTTTGCAGGCAACGGTGTTGGAGTGTAGTTCCTTGCACCTTCGAATATGTTAATCGGTGTTATTGGACTACGGATACTCCTGACGTAGCTTGATTTCCATGATATGCAACCATTTCAAATTGTTGAATGAGGACTTGTTCAAGAGACTGCGGCAATGAGACCGTTATGGGAATTTGTAGATCGTTTGCTTGAGGTTCTCCCTGTGGTGGTTTAAATGACAGTCGGGTATTCTCCCCTTAACTTGGTCAGTAGTGTCGGTTAGCAAATCATTTGAAGGAAACATCGAGTTCTTTCTGCAGCAATCTTTTTTGACTTCTCTGGTCTGTTGGTTATCCTGCACTCCTCCACTATTTCACAGGCTCACTCACCTTCTTTCTTAACATTTTAGCCAAATCTAGCGACTCCTCAGAGACGTTTGATAGATCTTGGGGATGCTTCTAGGCTGCACGTATATGTTTGAACCACATACAGATATGAACTTCTCACTGTATGTGGATCTCAGACACGACGTATTAAAATAGATTGCTACATAGATGACCCTCAAGAGTATTATAACGATTATAAGTGTACGCCTTGGATGAGATTCGAGGTCTAATAAGGCTTCTTCACGAGATGACTTTGGTTTTACTCTTGCGGAGCCATAGTGCAGACCTTGATTGATTTTCGTTCACATGGCAATACAAAGAGGGCTGACATTAACCAGGCCGAGAACGTTCTGGACATTGCGATTGCATACGATCCAGCAATACAGAGGTCGCCAGTGCCGACTTAGTTGTAAGGGTATATTTATGGATGTGTGGGCGGCGAAGGAAACGAAATTCATGTAACTTTTTAGTTGGGAAACGTTCCGAACAAAACGGACGTAGTGAGAGCTTGGCCAAGGTTTTGGTTTTTCTTCCTGCTCATTAGGAAGTTTAAGGTTGAACATCTTGGTGACATAATTCAATCATTTTTTTGGTGTATGTCTTACAGGAGATGCCGGACGGTTATCTGGTTGATCAAGAGCAAGACGACAAGGATGTTGTTGATATCAGTGTGGCATCCGCCCTCCTCTTTCTAGTCATGGCCTCGGGTTTCTTGCTCCTGTTATACAAATTCATGTCCGACTGGTTCCTGTTACTGCTAGTCATACTGTTCTGTATCGGTGGCGTGGAGGTGGGTTCCGAGACATTGTTGGCAGGATATGGATGGTCGGTGTCGCCGCGTGTTCACATTATGCCTCATTGTATCTGCATTTGAAAACTTGTCACCGTAGAATCAGAGAACGAAGGTGTCAGTAAGCTAAACACCATTCTGAGTGCTGACGCTCTTTTTTCAGCTCTAGTTTGTTTGCTATCCTTACATGTGTAATTCCTTTGGCACTGCAGGGCCTTCAGACCTGCCTCACAGCCTTTCTCTCCCGGTAAACGTCATTCTTTTCTTCATGTTTCCTCTTGATTATATTTCACATAAGAACTTTAGATTGCTCTTACCTACTATCTGATGAGTAATGAATATCCATTTGTATCTGAGAGATCTTTCCTGTTTTGGGCCTTTCGGCAAGGTTGATATAGGGTATTTCCGGAATATATTGCAGGTTTGTGGGCTTGTCCGGGCAACTCGTTCTCGTCTTCCTCGTATGATGATCTTGTTTAGATTATGGGTCGAATGTTTGATTTCATGGGTCGAATAGTTATCGATTTTTTTTCTAATTATAGGAACCCGTCTTTTCAAAATGCTGCAGGTGGTTCCCGCATGCTGCATCCTCTTATGTCAATCTGCCGTACTTTGGAACCGTTTCTGCACTTACCCTAGTCGTTTCTCCCTTCTGCATCACCTTCGCCGTGTTATGGGCTTGTTTCCGGCATCTGTCATTCGCTTGGATTGCCCAAGATATTCTTGTAAGTTTGACATAACTCTGTAAATAATATTGAAGTCAAACGATCTTCTAGAGAAAATGTCGTATTGCAGTTACCGTTATTCTGGTAGCTTTTGTTGTAGTCAGCAAGGTATTTATGCTGCAGATATATCACTCAATTCGTAAACACTGTTGTGGCACTGACGTAAGCATCCTGGGCACTGATATAAATATATATAAATTGAATACTATTTCTCCAGGGCATTTCGCTCATACTCACCGTTCTTCAAATTGTGCGGCTGCCAGATATCAAGGTGGGTCCTACGTTGGAGTTATTTCACCTTTTCCTTATTTCAGTGTGTACTGTAAATATAGGCATGACATTTGTTATCTAACGGTTTTGAATGTTGCCTTCGCAGGTCTCCACAGTCTTGTTGAGCTGTGCTTTCTTGTACGATATCTTCTGGGTTTTCATCTCGCCGGTTTTCTTTCATGAAAGTGTGATGATTGTGGTATGTACTAAGGTCCCATCTACCCAGCTTTCAGAAGTTTTGCTGCCTCACCGTTTCCACCTGATACTCCTATATTGGATTGTTTTTTTGCAAACTTATCATGGGTCCAGCGGGTTCAAACCAGCTGGGAAGTGTTGTTTGTGATGCAACCTCGGTTCCCTCAAGCATCTACGAACTAGTCTCTTTTGGTTGTATCACAGTCTAGTAAAGTCGAACCAGGAAAGTACGCTTGTGGAAATTAAGTTCGCGTGTTCAAAAGAATTGTGATCAACGTTCGACGGGATGATTTTTATTTCGTGTGAAGGTTGCGCGTGGTGACAAAAGCGGAGGTGAAGGGATACCCATGCTCTTAAAGGTCCCACGATTGTTTGATCCATGGGGTGGTTACAGCATCATTGGGTTCGGTGATATTTTGTTGCCAGGTCTCCTTGTTGCGTTCTGCCTCAGGTAGTTCATCTTTCTCGATGAGTTTATTGAGGCTGATGTATCTGATGGTTGTGTTGAGCTTTTTCACCATGTAGATGCCTTCTTTAGGGGTTCTTTGATTTTCTGAGAGTGTCGCCTCTAGTTTAATTTACTCACGTGCTGTTACGGTGACCGTTTTCAACAGATATGACTGGGCAGCTAAGAAGACCCTCTATGGAGGTTACTTTCTTTGGTCAACCGTGGGCTATGGCTTAGGTAACTTTGTCTTTCCTGCATGCTTCCCTTTCTCAGTTGGTTCCCTGCAGGCTTCCTGGGTTTGACCCTTGGAGAAATAGTACAATAAGAGTTACACCTCAATTTTACAGTTCCATAGTGACGTGAGTGTGTTGTTTTGCCTTGGCAGGGCTTTTCTTAACGTATGTCGCTCTGAATTTGATGAACGGCAATGGTCAACCAGCTCTTCTGTACATTGTTCCATGTACACTTGGTAAGGCTTGCGTTTCTTTCCTTTACTGTACTGATCTCTGGGTAAGGTTCTCGCAGTTAAATTAAGTTTTGCTGATCTTGCTGTTGCACAGTAGATTCATAACTCGAAACATACTGTTGTCATGACACTTGAAGGTTCATAACATCTTGTTTTACCAACCTACGGTCATGTGTGCAGGCACTGTAATCGCTTTGGGCTGGTGGAGGGAAGAGTTCCGCATATTGTGGAATAAGGGTGAGCGACAACAGTTGACGGACTTACCTACAACTCGTGCCAGTGGAACGTAGATTTGCTCATAGTCCGTCGTGCGTTTGTCAAAGAGTGATCTACATTCTGCTGTGAATATCTATCTTGTGAACAAAACATTCTAACCCATTTCTGTAAAATACTCTACTGTTGGGAGTAGAAGAGTGTAATTTGGACAGCTGAGAATCTGAACTGAAAGTTGCCTTTGCTGACCCTTGCTAATGTAAGAGTGATATGCAAGATGGACTGAATTTTATTGGCTCTATGCCCGATCCAATCCACAACGTACAGAGTAAACTGCAGCCTTTGCCTTTTCTTATTTCTATTCAATAGAGCAACCCTTCAATTGCTGGGAGTATGAGACGATCATTGCGGTTTTGCCACTAATCATACTGTATGTGGAGCCGATATTGAATCATCAGTCTGCTCTGTTTCCGTTAAAGGAAACCAATCGAAGTTCCTGTACTTTCGGAGGCCTTAGATTTCTCCGTCTTTCTGTAGTATTGTTTTACAAAACGTTCTGCATTGTGTCATTGTGGATGCTACTGTCTCTTGTGCATTCATATACTGTCTCCATTTGTCACTCATATTCTGTCTTTGTCATTTGCTCGAAAAGTCACACAATAGCTAAGGTTCTCTCGTTTATGTATGTGAACAGGAATTTATCACACAACTGCTACAGTTATGGGTGGTCAGTGGGCAACTAAATATGAGCAGATCGAGGGCTCACTAAGGTAGCAATCAGCGGAGGTTATACACCCAAGTAGTTCTAGTACTTGTTAGTTGTAGTTATTTTATAGAGAACCACAGAAAGCTCAAGTTTTGCAGGGGGTTTTTTGCAGTGAAAGCTGCTAAGGCTGTATGTGATAAGCTGCTAAGGCCGTATTTCAAAATCCATTGAGCTTTTGACCCAAAGGCAGTCCAGGTCTATTCAGTGTGTTTCGTCCTTGTAAATTGGAAAGCCCATGTGTTTAATGGGTGTAGCAAGAAACCAGTGGCCATCATTAACGGGTGGTAGAAGTAGGGTGGACTTAAAACCTCAGTTCAGGCGCAGTAAGTATACAGAGAGTCAAGACCTTTTATCCGGTGGATTTTGGGTTCCTTTTGAGAAGCTTATCCACAGGTGAAGCACCTGATACTTGCGCTTCTGTAGACAGCTCTGTGGTCAATGTATGTCGAAGATGTACCCACATCATAACCTTACATCATGTAGCAGTAAGTCAAGGCACATTTGTGTAGGTCCAGGGCTTCAGCATCGCAAGGTTATCCCTCATTCTGGTTTTCTACCAGCTTGCAGTAAAGTCTTGATTCTCAAAGTGCACCATATTAAGCATATATCAGGAGCTGTCACAAGCCAATATTTGAAATTGTACAAGAGGTTCAATAGTCACTACTTCCGAATCCAGTTACCCGGTCGTAGAAAAGCATGTTGTTTGCAGCTGTGGCTGTCTATGAACATGGTGCATTGAAGTCGTCGACAGCTTCTTGTTGTTTCAAAAGCGAGTGGTATATAGGTTCTTATGCTTTATGAACATTAGACGTGAAGATCGAAGATCTAATATCGAAGGAAGGGCACTTTGCAATAACTCAGAACATGTGAGGACGGTTTACCGAGGATAAACAAACGATTATTTGAATATAAAATTAGTCCTTTGTAAATGAAGGATTATATTTAGTACCATTGTTACATAGTTCCAAAGGAGGAGTAAACGAAGTATGTGCCACAGTACCTTGTGTATGAGTGGGGAGGAGACCATGACATTTACAAAAGAATCGTTTGTTTTCAAGGAGAGGTTAAAAACAATGTATACAACTCGGATGTCAACTCGGATGTTGGAGTTGTACAAATCGCAAGCGGGAGGGACAGTACTTTACACCCATTTGTATTATTTTTACACTTTCTTACTGCAAGTTTCTCCATGAAGGGATCTTATAACGTGCAAGTGATAGCTGTAAGTATTTTTGCTTTCTTCGGAAGAGTCTTCTTATTTTGATTGCAACTGTCCGCGTTTAGATTTTCTTGAATTTTATATAAAAAGTTAAATGTAGATTGGTATTATTGATTATGATCTAACAAACAATGAATGAGATGATTCTGTTATAAATTGTTCAAAACAAGATTCATAGTGTAGAATCTGTTGTAAAACTATGAAAACTGTTACCAGACTTCAGACCTACGGAGGTTCATGTTCTATCAATTATCTTGTGATCTGAAAGAATTATTGATATAAGAAATGTTTAGTACAACCTTGATTGGTATTATCGTTGTAATACGGATAATCACATTGTAGAGTGTATAATATTTTTATTCTTTAAATGAATAAAAAATTGTATTTTCATTATAAAAGTTCTACATAAATATGAATAAAATGTCCGATGTAGTTGATGTAATGTTTCTAATAAATGGTTGAGAAATTACAAATATGTAGACCATCTATCTTTGAAAAATATATCAATAAAATTGATCTATCAATAATGTGTTAAAAGTGTATGAAAGATATTATTACCTATCACTAACATTTGTATACATGACAGGTTAGTGCACAAATGCATTCACAACAATGGATTTTAAAACCAGTGGAGTAAATCAAATATGTATCATTCGTAAATCATTAATAGATTGTTGTTTGAACTTTGATGTAACATCAACCAATTTCCATCACTCGTGATTAATAAATTGTACAATTAAAACATGAGTAAATTTAATGTAGAGAACGGCTACTTATCATTCAAACTATGCTAATTATCATCCGTCTTGCATGAATTGCTTTAGAGAGTGATCTCATTTCAAAATAAACAACCTCGCTCTACGGCAGAGTTCTCTCACGCAACATTGGAAGTTGCGCTACTGGCAGTGTAACCTTACGCGTTCAATCAAGGTTCCGCATAGACTCAAAGTCGGTAACAAGAAAGATGGCTCTCAAGGTACGCTATTTGTATTCTCCACTGCAACAAACCGGTTGTCCATGATTTGTAGAGTGAGTTATAATTGGCAGAAATTGAGTGATTTAGGATCAGATTGATCTCCTATCAAAATGAACTTGTTCATTTTGCTCCACCTCTAAAGTTCTCACACGTAACATATACGCTGCGCTATTGGTAGTGCAGGCAAGGCTATGTCTTTATGATTAAACTCAGCCTCATGGTTGGTAACAAGAAAGATGATTTTCAGAGAATTCCATCTTGTATATTACGATTAGAATAAATAGATTTTCCATAATTTATAGAGTGAGTGATAATTTGCATAAATTGAATTATAACTAGCTGACTCGTTAATATATATGTTTGTCATATTAGTTTGATAAATATTTATTCTCATTGATATTCTTTTTATTGAGAAAACCAAAATTAGCGTCATTATAGTTTCGTTTTTTTGAAATTGATACATCGATATATATATCTTTAAATATGAAAAAAAACATTTATCAAATAGATACATGAGAAAATAGTGATAGGTTAGTTATTATTCAGTTTATATTAATCATCCCGAGAATAAGAGTAGCGAGAGTGTCAAGTGGAGGGGCTAGTAGCTATACTGCTCGTGTAGGAGGCAGATCTCGACGGGCAGCGGTTGCAAGTAGCAGAGTATAATTGGCATAAAATGAATGATGACTAGACATTCCCAAAATTATTATTTGATAGAAAAAATTATAATATATTTAAATATATTATGCATTTAAAATTATTGAAGCAATTTATCTTACTGTAAGTATAGATGCATTTATATCATAGAATTTAAAACATTTTAATTTGCAACCATCGGTAAAGTGATATACCTACTAAAATTTTGATTACAAAATTTATCTGATTTAGTCGAGATACATATGATTGAGAGAGGACTAAAATCAGCTGGTTTAAACCCAGAAACCTGGTGGTTTTCGTGGAGATTGTGAATCTGGCTCGGGGGATGGGGCACACCACGCACCACCTCGTTCATGCACGGCAGCGGTTCTCGGTGACAAGTCCATTTGACAGGGAAGGAAAAGATGTGAGCACGACAAGTGGACGACCGAGTTCCATCACAAAAAATATGAATATGCTCTTTCGTATGTTGCGGGCAGGAGCAACACTTTTCTCGTCGCCGGTCGGAATGACGAGCCGTGAGGGTGATGATCTTCGGGCGGAGACGGTGGATGCATGCTTTGCTTGTAATTAAGCCTCGGAGGACAGAAGCATCCAATTGCTGCACTGGGCTGAAGGCGAGAGGAGTGTGTCGGAGGAGGTGTTGAGAGGATGGTGGTGTCCGACGACTTGCCGAAGTGTGAAGCAAATTACGCAGCACTCACTCCCATAAGTTTTCTGAAACGAACGGCGTCCGTGTATCCTGACAGGAAATCTGTAATCTATGGGGACAGAGTGTTCACTTGGTCTCAGACTTTCGACAGATGTCGGCAACTCGCTTCGGCACTGCGGTCTTTTATCTCTGCAGGGGATACGGTGCGTGACCACGTGATTCCATCAATGAACAAGTGCATTTTTCATGGATTGAAAGAACGAACTCATTATTGGGTCCTCAAGCTGAACATCCTTCTTGCTCCGACGCATACGTTTCGAGGTCCGTCCAATTTGTTTCAAAATTCCAGGCCACATGTTGTTATCGACTTTCTAATTACTTCTGGAAATCGATGAACCTTCTTCCGTGCACCAGTCCAGTTTCTATGTAGGGTACGAGGTCCTGACTGATTTTGATCGACGAGTGCATAGTCCTCTGCCTGCCCCGAGAGGTCGTAGAGGTTTGGCAGACTCGGTCACCCAACGGGATGTCTGCTTGATATGTTGAAGTGGGATTTCTTCAGGTGGCTGTGATCGCTCCCAATGTGCCGGCCATGTACGAGCTTCACTTCGGCGTGCCGATGGCCAATGCTGTGCTCAACACCTTGAATACGCGGCTCGATGTGCGCATGTTGGCCCGGATCCTGGGTCACTCGGAGGCCAAGGTGTTTTTCGTCGATACAGAGTTTTTGGAGATGGCTGAACAGGCCGTGCAGCAGTTGTCGAAGAAGCCCCTGATTGTGCACATCGAAGACAAAGCTTTCCAGGCACGAGCTGGACGGCCTGTGCATCCGGAGTATGAAGACCTTCTGAGACGCGGAGATTCCAAGTTTCCGATCTGCTGGCCGGCTGACGAGTGGGAGGCCATTTCCATAAACTACACGTCCGGCACGACAGCACACCCCAAAGGGGTCGTGTATCACCACCGAGGAGCATACATTAATGCTCTGGTCAGCGCTCTCGATTGGCAGATGCCTCAGGGCCCAGTGTTCCTGTGGACGCTGCCCATGTTTCACTGCAATGGCTGGTTGTTTCCCTGGACCATAGCTGCACAATCGGGCACCAACGTATGCCTGAGGGCCGTGACGCCGAAAGCTGTGTTCGATGCCATAGCGCAGCACCGAGTGACTCATCTGTGTGGAGCTCCAGTCGTCCTGAACATGATCTACTCTGCTCACGAGCGCGAGAAGAAGCCCTTACCGCACGCGGTGCACATCCTGACGGGCGGAGCCCCTCCGCCCGCATCTGTTCTTCTCAGGATCGAGTCCTTAGGCTTCTCGGTGGATCATGGCTATGGCCTGACCGAGAGCTACGGCCCTGCAACCAGCTGCATCTGGAAGCCTGAGTGGGATTCTCTGCCTTCGGAAGAACGAGCGAGCTTGAAAGCGCGGCAGGGAGTGGGTCACGTGGGGCTCGTTGATGTGGATGTTCTCGATCCCCACACTATGACTCCCGTGCCCCGGGACGGACAAACTATGGGAGAAGTGATGATGAAAGGAAATTGTCTTATGAAAGGTTATCTGAAAGAGCCGCAGCTAACCGAGGAAGCTTTTCGAGGAGGCTGGTTCCACACCGGTACTGTATTATTCTCTTGCTTTCTCTCACGTGCCTCCCACATTTGTCATCAATGCAGTACCCCTTCCTCTGTCCTCTGCACTCAGTTCTGCGCACGTCCATGTCGATATATGCGAGGAATTGAAGCAAGTGATTTGTACTTGTGGTTTCGTGATGCCTCGATTGCCTTCCTCCACATAACACCGTGAAGTTGCGGCTTTTCACCGTCTGTGGAAGTGACTCGCTATGACTGTCGCTGCAGCAGGAAAAGTCGAGAGTCGTACAGAGAAGTGTATTGTCCCCAAATGGCTCATACTGTTTTGTTGTTTAGAAGCCCTCGCTGTAACGCCGCCAGGAGATTTTTGTATATGATGTAAGAAAGAGATGCAATAATTCAGTCACCAAGCAGCAGGCACCTGTCCTGCTCGATGAGTATTCATCGTCGTCTGTGGAGTATCTCTAAGACCGAACCAACATCCGGCGTTCTATTCTGATTCACGTCGTCATCCTGCAGGGGATTTGGGGGTGATGCATCCTGACAACTACATTGCTCTGAAGGATCGCTCGAAGGACATTATCATATCTGGTGGGGAAAATATAAGCAGTATTGAGGTGGAGTCCGTTCTCTTTCGCCACCCACACGTTCTCGAGGCAGCTGTGGTGGCCCGTCCGGACGAGTTTTGGGGCGAGACCCCATGCGCGTATGTCACTCTCAACGATCCTTCTTTCGTCGACAGGGTGACGGAAAAGGACATCATCGAGTTCTGTAGGAATAATCTGCCCAAGTACATGATTCCCAAAACTGTTGTGTTCCGAGACTTGCCCAAGACTGTCACGGGAAAAGTGCAGAAAAACGTCCTCCGAGAGCATGCGAAGAAGCTGGGGTCCTTGAGGCCACCGACGAGCAAGTTGTAGGCAGCAAGTGAGGAACTAGAGAATGCTTGCAGGTTTTCCATGCATGCAAATACTTCGATAGCTTGTCGAGTTCGGACCCGGATCCACCACGTCCTTGTGCCTGCAATTTCTCGGAGCATATTTCCAAGTGCTGTGCGTTGCAGTCATTGCCTCTACGGTGAAGCTCGACCATCACTGCACAATGGATGAATTGAAAGACGATGGGACAAGGCTCATCTGGGTGATACTGACGCAAACAATACCAGAACGAAAGACTGCCTTGCCTCTCGACAGTTGCTTTTGATCTGGTGAACAAAGTGTGCCACCCCATTAGCGAAGGTTCGCAGTATATCTTTTGCGCACTGGATGGCAAGGCGATTGCCACTTCTGTACGAGTTTACGCCATATGAGAGTATTCTGGACCATCCGATCTCTGAATGATAGGTCTGAGAATACAGCCACTAATCAGTGGGCTGTGGTTCTCTTCCACTTTGATTTGCAACCTGTAATTGCCCTAAACATTAATGGATCCTGCTTCTAACAAATCTACTTCTGTATATGTTATAGTAGATAAACGGCAAAGTTTTGGGCATGCCAGGTGAATCCATCGAGCACGGCTATGGGCGCCCCATGGACTGCAGAGTTCTTTTAACTTTTCTGTGGGGGATGATTCATATTCTGGCGGTGACGTGGAAGTAGATAGGTGGGTTCAGGTCCGTAGTCAGGGTTCTGAAGCAAACTCTGACTAAACCGGATCGCATGACAATTTAGTGGATCTATGGGATGAGGATTCCTTAACAATGATTGAAATTCACTTATGAGCTTTGACTATGAAGAGCACGCATTTCAAATTATTGGTAACGACCATAACACAACTCACTTACAACCGCAGTCTTACCATCTTCTGTGATTTACACTTCAATGTTTACTACTGGCATGCCATATTGGCTTGAGTATACAAATAATAATAATACTCTTTAGTGACACTGTTAAGTTTAATCGTATCGTGGATGTCTACCTTTAATTTTTTTTACTAAGATGTACTTGCTCTCTCATATGGGTTGAAAGATATTACCTACATAATTTAATGGGAGTGGCCGATTGCGTTACAAAAGTATTCCATTCCGGAATAGTTTACAGCTAATTGTGTACTTTGACGGTAGTTGTTCTTCAACAGACTATATCTTCATATCAAAGGGGAGTTTCAGAGTATTATTTCCACAGAAGTTGTGAGGAGTCAAATGCCGACTCATTGTTGGTCCCTCTATTTTGACTCCATTTCCTCATCAAACTCAATAGTCCATCAAATTAATTCCATTCATCAAGACAGTCTGCTATGTTCTTTCTTCAACTTCACCTTTTCACCTTGAGTTTAAATATTTTAAACAACTTAGAAGTCCATCTCATTACCTTAGTAACAACTAATTGAGATCCAAAAATTTCTCCTTCCCTTTACGGTAAGTCCACCCTTTATCTTTGGACTGTAAATCTTCATGTTTTTTTCTCCATCTCCTACTTCAATGTTTATCGATCTCGGCTCTATCCATCGCTTCCCCTGTGGTTGTAGTTTGGCTTCCGAATCTCCTTCTCATTCATTCTGTGGTAAATTGATGGAGTGTTTCACCCTCCCTGCAATTTTTATCACTTCGAGTCCATTCCATCACATCAATTTTTCTCCTTGTAGCAATAAATGTTTCCTCCCTCTATTCTTTACTTCTTCTTTTTTATCTTTACTTCATCATATTTGACCCATCACGCTCTTCATCTCATATATCTACTCTTAATCGTTTCATCAAATCTCCTTCACTGAAAATCATGGCTTACTTTTTTCAAATCTACACTACTACAATACTCTCCACATCATCCTCTACTTGTTTCTAAGCTTGACAAAACTTTATCCACCTTTGTTGCCTCATTCTTCTTCATTCATAATCAAATGTGTAGCAATTGCACATATCTCGTGATGCACTGTTCTCAGCATACTCCATTTTGATCTTCTTCACCATCACTTCTATCATTTTTTATCTAGTCTTTCAATTGTATTTTTCTTGCAAGTCTATCTACAACCTTGACTTTCTTCTTACAGGAAATGAGTTCAAGATACATATACATATATTTAACTTGCTTTTCAATAGATGATATGATTCCAGTTTTGTGTTTCAAGCTAAAAGTTGAACTCTTCAATGATGCCACATGAACATCATGATATTTATCAAGATAGATAACATCCAATCAGACTTTGGATTATCAATCAAGTGTGAAATCCTTCAGTTTTGAAAATCTAGACTGATTTAATTTCATCTAAAACTTTATCAAAAAGTTAAAGTTCAAACATAAGTATATGCTAAATATTTAGATTCAATCAAACTACTTCTAAAAAATTTTTAGTTTGAATTTTGTGTATCAATTTATAAATTTAAATTAATTTGAACTTAGATTTAAATCTCCAAAAAAGTTTTACATGCATGGGTCACTTTTTTTTTTTATATACGTGATAATAATATGAAAAAGTTCAATAGGAAGAAAATGTTGTCTCATTTTTTTATATTTTATATGGATAAAATGATCATTTGGACAAATGTATCTATATCGTGTAATTTGATGCAAGAATAATTCCATTAAAAAATTACATTCAAAACGAAGGATTTGGATGATTACAAAAATACAATGAATATAAAATTTCACAAAAATTTCAGAAATAGAATGTAATATCAAATCAAGAAAATTACGTTGAATGTGTGTAGAAGATGATTTGCACGAAGTAAGTAAGGAAAATGAACTTCATTGGTTTTACCATTCGATCTTCTATTTGTTCAAATTTGACTTGATGCAATTAAATAAACAAAGATATCGAAATTTTTGATTACAAGATAATATATCATATCATATGTTCGATGATATATTACATTAAATCAAATATTGCCCTAGCTACAAGCCAATGATTATTTACACTAATCAATATGAGTAGTAACTAATCAAGCAAAGTTTTTATCGTCATAGGTATTCATAGTTTTCAAAATCTACAATTTTTTAAGGAAATAAATTCTTTTACTAACAATTTTTAAATGTATAAATTGATATTCAAAATATACTAAATTGATCTAGCTTTTTTTCATGATCTGCAGATGTTTAAATATAACTTGTTTCAATTGTTGATATACATGTTAAAATCTTGCATCTTCCTAGCTATTATTTGAAATTATTTTTTCAAATTTGCTTGACTCCATTTTATGAAATTAGTTTTGTTGTATGTCAAATATTTAGATTATTATTACTTTGATAAAATTTAAAAAATTTGCAATATAAACTTCAATGAAATCAAAAAATGATTTACAAGATGCATCAAATTGGATGCAAAGATATTCTTTAAAAATGCAGATATAATAAATATATTTTTATTTCATCTTTTTAGGATTCTTATTATTTATTGAAACTAAAAAATTTTCTTTAAAAATATGCAGATTCTTGATCTAATTTTTTTTATTTTTGATAATTTCAAAATTATAAAACTACATTGTTTAAAGATAATATTGATAATTAATTGATTACATTGTGTTTGATGAATGATTTCAAAATTTGAAATTTAATATTTATACATTTTTTCTTTCAAATTATTGATGAAGGTAAAATTTTTACAACTATGTTAAGGTTAATAGTTAATAGAAATTACATTGATTCTTAGGTATATTACTAATTTTAATCGATGGATAGATTGTTGATAAATTTATGCAGAAGAAAAATAGTTCTTTCATTAAAGCTTTAATTATTGAGTTTCTGATCAGATTATAGGCTAGGTTTGTTTTCAAAACAAAACTAGACTATAATCTGACTTGAAATCAATGAAGTAATATTCTAAAATTTATTTTACTTTGGATTTATATATTTACATGTTTGAAGTTGCATTTCTTCCTTATGGTTTGATTTATCTCATGATTAAATTTTTTTTATTGTTAAGGCTAAGTGTTGATTCAAAGTGTAGCAACACTAGCACAACGTATTTCAATATAATATTAAACTTATAAATTTTTCATGGTGTTATCTTAAAAACTTGTCTTCTAAAGAATATTAAATGATAAATAAAATTTTGACACCTAATTTCTACATATCGATATCTCTATAAACACACAGAAGTAATGATCAGTTATGATAAAAATGTACGTAATCTTGCTATAAACTATTGGACAAGATATACATCACCTTGTACATCAAGTTGAATCAAAGTCAGGAGATCTTTGACTTTTAGGAAGGGAAACAAGTGGAGAAATATAATATATAAAAATTTGGAGTGGGCTCTGGAGTACTAGGAATATGCAGCGGGAGAGATCACTCCATGCATTTTTTGCTCCGATAGATGGGGTATGGGAGTACTAGGAATATGGAGCGTGAGAGATTACTCCAGGCAGGTTTTACTCCCTTGGAAGCGGCCTTGGAGGAATAGGAATATGGAGCGTGAGAGATTACTCCAGGCAGGTTTTACTCCCTTGGAAGCGGCCTTGGAGGAATAGGAATATGGAGCGTGAGAGATTACTCCAGGCAGGTTTTACTCCCTTGGAAGCGGCCTTGGAGGAATAGGAATATGGAGCGTGAGAGATTACTCCAGGCAGGTTTTACTCCCTTGGAGCGGCTTTGGAGGAAACGGAATATGGAGCGTGAGAGATTACGCCAAGCCTGTTTTACAGTACTACGATGGAACAAGTTGTTTATTCTTTTTTTGCACTGTAAAATTTAGCTTGTCATTTCACGGACATGATCCAGCCTGTACTAGTACTACACCGTTTTGTTAGCCTCTTGTTTACATTTCTTCTTCAACGAATCTTTCGAGTGTCAGTAATAAAGAATGAATATACCGGCCATCGAACTGCAAAACATCGCATGTTTATATGATGAGGTAACCATGCATGCCTAAACTAGGGCCATGTTACTAGATCGTTCAATCTGCAGCCACGAGCCTAAAGATTAGAGGATTATAAGAGAATAGAGCACATTAAAATCACGTCAACATTGGACCGAGTTGTGGGGCTCGATGGGGACTTGCTTGTTGTGGCCGACGGGGCGACGAGACGGGAGAGAGAGGGGTGCGCGTGCACTCCGCGGTCTTGTTGCCGGCCAGCGTGGGATTCGGGATTCGGGAGCTTCCCTCTTCGGGTTCCGCAAATTATTCCGATTGGGATATTAAGTAGCCATGAATATACACAATAAATTTACGTAAATAAGAAACAATAACAGGATAATATTGCTAATTTAGCAATATATTTCTAATATATTAGCTAATTTAGCAATGCTAAATGACTGATTAGAGTGTTATAATAATTACGTAAAAAGTGTTAAAAAAATCTATCAAAAATAGTGATATTCATATTTCTTAGCAGCTGAAGAAACATCTTTTAACATACTTAACATATTTTTGAGTTACATTGGATTTTTTTTCCATATATCCATGTATGTACAATAAATCCAAAATAAAATCTGCAATAGGTTATGGAGAGATATGCGCTCTACTCTATGCATAGTTTATAAAACTCTCATGCAGTCATTCACTAATATATATATGTTCATGATTTTATTAGAACTTTAAGGTTAGAAGAGCAAGAAGGTGACAATTTTTTTCCAAAGTTTTCAAAATTTGAAATTTAGATAGTTATTTTACCAATTTCCTTGTCAAGATAACATATAATTATACCGCTCAAAATGATATCACACTATAGTCATACATTTGCACAATTTATCTGATACTCTAGAATCATAGTCAAGTCTATTCTAACCGAGTTGCCTATAAGGCATAAGATTTTATAAATTTATCATTTAATTTATACAACTAACTCAGGAATCCCTATGAGATCATTCGATGAATTGTTAACATCCATATATTTTTAAATTTTTTTTATGATAGCCCTTACAAATCTTTCCACGATGGAGATAGGAATTTGCATATACATCATGACAAAAATAAAGTATTTCAACAAAATAAATCTTCTTGTTTTT